AAGCTCCTATCTAATGGCAGACATGCCAGTGTTATATAGAACCTTCTTGCTCATGGATCTGGTTGGATCCTAGGATCCCCAAGATCCATCCAGATCCAAAGATCCGTCACGTGACTATAATGAAATCCTTGGATCGCTTAGCTAGTCTAGCCGATCCCTATTCGCTATAAGAGCATGATAGTGCTTAACCTGTCAGGACGCCGCCTGGTCTTCACTCGTCACATGCTAACACGTGATTCGTGACACTCAGCCAGGGGCTCGTTTGACGCATGGTGGCCGCCGGGTTCCAGCCAGGGCTGGTCTGTAGCGTGGTGGCGGTGAGAACCGTCACAACTATAGTAAAGTATAGTTTTATAATACTAGAAGAGAAATATTACCTAGGAGATATAGAGTATAGTAATTCTAAGTTTATAATAAGTTTATTTCGTAAGGTACGTTACTACCTAAAAGAATAGAAATTAGTAATAAAAAGCTAGCGAATATAAAAGAGCTCTTTAATTTATACTAACTTATATATCTTTAAAAAGTATAATTAAGTATATCTTTATTATAGTAAAGCGTAAGTTTAAGATCCTAGGCTAGGTTATAAAGTACTTGATAAATATACAAATCTACTTTATTATAAGTATTTATATATTATATAAGTTTATTTTATTCTAGGAGAGTCTAGAGTATATATTTAATAATAGTAATAATAATTAAGAAGAAAAAATTAAAGGAATAAAGAAGAGAAGCTAGCGAATACGATTTAATATATAAGTAGTAGTAAGTGTAGTAGTTATAAAGAGATAAATAAGTTAAGAATAATTATTATAGCTTAAATATAAGAAGATTATTTAGAATATTAAGTTTTTTAAGTTAAGAGAAAAGAAACTAATTTAGTTAAGGAGTATTAGACTATTCCTATTATTAATATACTTCGATACCGAGTAAAGGTAGTAGGCTAGGTGTCACGAATCACGTGTTCACGTGATACCTGTCATAATAAGAGGCGCGACCCTCGACAGGCACATCCAGGTTTCTTATAGCAAATAGGGATGCTTAGACTAGCTGTCACGAATCACGTGTTCACGTGATACTTGTCATAATAAGAGGCGCAACCCTCGACAGGCACATTCAGATTTCTTATAGCAAATGGGGATCGCTTAGGGTAGCTAGGCGATCCAAGGATTTCTTCCTTACAGAAGATCATGTGACTAGGGAGTATGAGGAAGTATAAGGGAGGCTTATACTACTCTATACTCGGACCATACGCGGGGTATGAAGGTTCTATATAAGACTGGCACGTCTGCCATTAGATAGGAGCTTCGTGCTCAACTTAGTTATCAATCTTATCATATTAGTTTGACATCTTTGATACAAGTAACGAGTTCACTTCCAAGTGAACAACCCGATAGTCTTCTTCTTATCATAGCATACCAACCAGCGAACACCCAGCCAAGTTTAGTTAGCCAGTTTGAGTATTCGTTACACTAGCTAAGCGATCCAGGGATTTCTCATGTATGTAGTCACGTGATCAATCGCATCGCCTGTATCGACAGTCGATGTTAGCGATAGGAGGTCGACTACATCGACAGGTGATGTAGGCGATGTAGAGAGAACGAAGGTTCTATATAAGACTGGCACGTCTGCCATTAGATAGGAGCTTCGTGCTCAACTTATTTATCAATCTTATCATATTAGTTTGACATCTTTGATACAAGTAACGAGTTCACTTCCAAGTGAACAACCCGATAGTCTTCATCTTATCATAGCATACCAACCAGCGAACACCCAGCCAAGTTTAGTTAGCCAGTTTGAGTATTCGTTACAACGAGTAATAGAAACTTAGTACAAGGATAGGCCGACACTATACCTGTTTTAGACGATATTTAACGATATTTCGCTTTCACATAGAGTAGATACTCGACTCCTGACCATCGTCCTAAATCGGACGATATTTCTTAGCGGGATATTGTGAGTACACAGAGCCTAAGATGATGTAATTCATGAATTGCGTGGAGTGGTATTCGTATTTGATTTGGCAACAGGAAAGATGCTTTCCCCACGGGCAAGGTTGGTTCGGGAGTTGCCGGGTTAAGCCACGGTACTATAAGCGTCGAACACTGCTCCTGGAAACATTCTTTTGATTAGCACATGCCTCAGTTAGCCCGAAGTATTTTTACCATCAACTTCGAACCAAATGTGGAAAGTTGATAAATGAGAGAGCGGTATTATCTATCTAAGTTTACCTCTCTTGGAAGGAACCCCAAGATCGGGTTCTACTCTGGGCTTTCAGGTCAGCGATCTTTCTTCACACCCCAGGGCCCAGACGTCATTTGGCTTTTTTGGAGGGTGGTCTTTATGGGCGTCCGTCATCACCTCGTACTCCCCGAACAGTTTGGGCCTTCAAGTCGAGTTTTTACGGTATGGGAATTCCGTTTCTTTTTTGGGTCCCATGTCTCCCAATAAGTTTTGTATAAGTGAGCGGTCCTCTCTGATGATTTTTGGATTACTTACCCTTTCACTCCACCTTGCCTCTGTGGCTCTTTTCCTTCTTCTTTCCCCTTCAGTTACTTTTAATTCTTTAGTAATATCACATTCATTACACATTCATTACACATTACCAAGTTCATTTCACATCACGACACTCATGTCCATCTATTTTCAGTTGCGACATCATTACAGTACAATCGGTATACTACATCACGTCTTGAGTTTTTACAAGTCATTCTGCCTTCCAATCAACGACGTCCAATTGCGCCATGTTGATTCCCAACTTATTTGCCGCTGCGGCGATTCTTTCCACTTTAGCTGCTGCTGTTCCTCTTCCGGCAAATGATGCTGTTCCGTCTCCGCTCTCAGAAAGAACAGCACCGCCAACGATAGCAACGGAAGCCGTCGACGAGGCTCTTCACCTCTCGAAGAGAAACTCGAACAGCCTACTGAACAAAGGCTTCAGGTTCCCATGGGAAAAGCCGGAACCAGAAACGCCATGGCCAGTGCCAAATATTTTACCCAAGTATGGGCCAGAAGAAGGACCGCTCGGCAGACCGCTCCCACTAGATGCTAGGCCACCAAGCCCCTGGAATTTGGAAGACTATCCCCCGAAAAAGAAGTACGCTCCAGGATTGGGGCTGGGATTACCAACAAACGCGCCAGCTCTTCCGCCTCTTCCTGTTAAGGCTGCACCTCTTACCAAGAGAACCGGAGCCGTTGACGAAGATGATACCGAAACTCTGTCTGCGCGTAATGTTAATCTGCTAGGAGCTGTTACCGCTCTAAAAAAGGGAGCCTTCTCAAAAAAACCACCAAAACCACCAAAAGTACCAACGCCTCAGTGGAACCCTCGGCCTCGTCCACATGGAGGGTACATTCAGGTTAAGAACAAGGGACCTAATAGGCAGTGGAACAGCGCTGGTGTTAATGGCAAGCGAGCCGTTGTTGACGAAGATGATACTGAAACTCTGTTTCCACGCGGGCTAGAACTAGCCGCCGCTGCTCTAAAACAGGTATCCTCAAAACCACCAAAAGTAACAACACCTCAGCCTAAACCTCGGCCTAAACCTCAGCCTCGTCCATATCGGGGGTACATTCAGCACAAGGTTTCGGGATCTAATAGGCCGTGGAACAGCGCTGGTGTTAATGGCAAGCGAGCCGTTGTCGACCAAGATATCAATAATTTCTTCGAGTAAAGAGGAGGTTGTGGATGTTTTGTACTTTGAGTGAATATACCATGCGAGCGTTTTATTTTTCTAACATCAACTGCCTATCAAGTTTACAGTCACGTGAGATATCTCCTGCAAACGCAGGGAGACAGAGAGCTTTCTATCAATCATGGAAGATAAATTGTATAGGATGTGATTTCAAATATAAAGACCCGGAAAAGCGAGGCCTAATAATACCTAGAACTCTTCAGTACCGTAGCTTGACTTTCTACGTTGTTCTACAGAAGCTGCCCCACTATCTTCTTCCGATAAAGTTATATTAAGGTTATGCAAAATATTTAAAATAGCTTTATATTTATAGGAACTTCAATTCCCCACAACGACAAATATTCTCGGAAACCATCGTATTCCGCAGCAGAATTTCAGCAAACAGGAATACAAATTTACATTGGGTTCGGAATAATGAACCTGTCTCTTGAGGGCAACTGAAAAACTTAACACAACTGACCCCTCTGCGAGTCCAGCTTAGGAGATAACCCAAGAGCAGGATGGATGAGAACTAAGGGCAGGCAACTCCCAGATTCTCGGATCCCACGAGCCACATCGATTCACATTTGTAGTTTCCTGGTGGGACCAGGTGGGCTCAACACACCTTTTATAAACATGGACCAACGACAGATACCTAGGTTAGCGTATAGAGGCCGCAGTAACACAGTGAGTCACACGCAATTCATAGAGAAGTCTAAAATACCGTACGCCAAACTGTACAACAAAATAGCGATGACTTGAATTTCATGATTCCATGCGACTTTAATATGAATTGATATTTATTATTATACAAAGACGACTGGGTGAAGAGGATAGTTCCCATGATTTATTATTGAGTAGACCTGAGTATGTCCTGTCCAGGAAACGAATTGAGGATTTGGAGTCCCCTACTCCCACGTTACCCCCCTCAAACCCCGGTTTGGCCAACCACTACTTTGCTATGTTAACTCATCTCAGGCCAACCTTTTCGGGCTCAAGCATCTCATGCAACATATGCCCCTCGTGATCAGTAATCAAACTGGTCTCCCAAATCCTCTTTCTCGCTTGCTCATCAGTCTCTCCGGTCCCCAAATCAGGCCTTATTCTCCAATCCTTAAATAACACAGCCAGTGCAGCAACCAACTCCACCTGAGCAAATCTTTTTCCAGGATACACCCGTTGGCCCCAAGCAAAAGGCATAAAATATTCAGAGGTATCGGCTGCAAGTGTCTCATTCGCAAACCCTTGGCCTAGCGGGGTGCTCTCGGAGCTTTTGAGACTGATGAAACGATTTGGATTCCATTTTAGAGGGTTGGGACCCCAGTATTTGGGGAGGGTATGGAGAGCTGGGAGAGAGCAGTGAACTGGAGTATCTGCTGGGATCGTGAATACCGTACCATTCACTTTAAGAGGCGCTGGATTTGAGCCTGTTGTCTTCACAAGTTGAGATATAGGATGACATATTCATTCGAAGGGATTCCATCTGTAATAGATTAGTATCTTCAAAAGATGGGAAGTGTAAAATAACTGACAACCACGGCATCACACCGTTTCAATTTGGGATAGGCTTCGTAGCTCCAAGTATGTGGGGTGTCTGTGGGAAGATAATGGTTTATCTCTTTCGAAATCCATTCCTGAGTTTGTGGATTTGCGGCAAGGTGGGTCAACAGATTCATAAGGGCAATGGAGGTCGTTTCATTTCCGGCAAATGCGTACACAAACAAGTTGCTCAGAATTTCCTCTTGCGTAAGTGTAATCTTCTTGTTGGACTTGGACACAGCATTTTTCAGAGCTTGATCCTCTTCGCACGCTTGAACCAACCGAGCTACCAAATGTTGATTGTTGCTTTTCCCCTCCCTGATAAATGCCCTCTCTTCGTCCATCAGACCATCAATATAAGACCGAAAATTGGACATAGCGATTGCACCCTGTTTGCAAGATACAGGGGTCCACCATGATTTCAAGCGTTCCTCGCCAAGTATCCAAATCTGAATGATAGATTCCAGTATTGTCGCTAGTGAATCCCGATACTGATGTGAAGTGTCTGCGGTATGGTCTTTTCCTTTCATCTCAGAGTGACCTTCAAAGCCATAGACTTTGTTAAATAGCGCTGAAGCAATAAAATTTAACGTAAAAACTTTAGTATGTTGATGGGTGGTCCTGATAGGCAATTCAGCGCGTTGGGTCCAGTATTGTAACATCCCAAGTGCCTGATCCAACGACTGCTCCCAGACCAGCTCATTGTTTTTCTCGGTAAAGGTGACTCCAGTCATTTTCCGATGTTGTTGCCACTCTTGGTCATCTGTGGTCGCCAGGTTCTTGCCGTAAACATTTAGAACAGCGATCTCTTCCATATTACGTCGGAACTCAGTACGCCGCTGCAAGATGTCGTATATTGCCTCCGCATTTGACACGCAAAGTTCCAAACCACCAGGATGGACCATTATGAAGACTTCACCTTTGTCAACGTGAATATTTGCCCGTTCGTTGGCCTCCCAGCCAAAAGAATATATGCGTTGAAAGTCCTCTGTTGCTATCCCGAGACGAGTACAGAATCGAATTATAGAGCTTCCGTAAAGTAGCCAAAATGGGTTAATTGGTGATATCCAGCGGGTTACATATGGTAGGCCGATTGATTTGGCTTTCGCCCGATTTTGCGCAATGGATTGCGCTGTCCAAAGTAAGAACGCTACTGGGAGAGCGAAGAGAGTGAGAACCGCTGTCAATATAGCCATTTTGTAATGATGATGCGGTCGTAGGAGAGAGTTTCAAGGCAAGACCCTTCAGATGATGTTCTATACTGCTTCAGCTTTCGGCGCAAGAGACAAGGTTGAAATTAGGAAGTGCTAATGGCTCCTACTCACCTCAACAAGATGCTCCAAGTCATGTGAGGTGTTGATTATGAAGATGAAAGGAACGAGTGGTTGTTGGGCCACTTAGATCAACGAAAGAAGGGATTTGTGGAATAAATAGGAAAGAACGGGTGCTGAGTACCAGGACATATCACCAACAGGATCCGGCGTTGGTTTTGCAGCCGCCCCCACAATTTGCACGTATCTGATGTGAAACCAACAGAGGTGGCGCAAATTAGGCACTGGGATACTTCGAAGTTGAACGGGAGTGACTGAGCAATGGTGCTTTTTGAAAAACCCTACTAGCCGCTTTTCCTGATGGATATTGAGCATATTCAGATTGTGATATGTTGCGCAGCTGGAATCGAAGGAAAAGATTTAGATAGGTCCTCCGCAGTAAGTCCTACCAGATGGAAAAAAGACCTCTCAACCAGAAAAGAGCTCAGAAAAGGACCAAGAGAAGGTTTAGATGCATTAGTAATAGCAACGTGGATTTGAGAGTTTGCGAAGTGTGTGGAAAAATGTCAAATTGGGAGAAAAATACCGCTCTACGCACCTGTTACCTAGTTTGAAGCACGATGGCTTCCAAAATAGAGGCGCTCAATACCCCAGACATAAATGACAAAGGTTCATTGGTGTATATCGCTCTTCCTTTTATCCCTGGCTCCATTTGATATCTATTCAGTGGCATTTTCTGGAGTATTGCACACAACACCGTATTTACAGATACCTCAACCAACAAAGCCACTCAGTTCATATCATCAGCAGCAAAACCAGCTGGCGGCGCAACATGAACTTCCCAGTATTTTGTGATTCCTTTTCCCATGCGGCTCTTTTGCTCATCTGTCCTCGTGTCATTCCCATACTGCTCATGAGTGACGCCAATATCAAGAACTCCTTTCCGCTTGCCTTCCTTGATATATTGTAGAAATTTCATGCTGACCCTAACATACTCTCTCAGACCCTCTTTTACGTTGATGGTTGCCCCGGTGGTCCAGGAAAGAAGTAAAGGCTCGATGAGAGATGCGTCTGTGATACTAGGATGGGAGGTCTTCATGGAGGTCATGAACCAAGTTGCTCCAACACGCTTAAGTACTTCGCGGGCAATGTCTCGAACGGTGTCGAAGTGCGGGCGACCGTAGAATATTGTGTGTGCTTTGGACCAGGAGTCGGAATGGACTATCATGAGCGGTACGTCGATGTTCGTGTTAAGTCGTCCGGATGATTTTCCAGGGTCGAAGATGATGCCGCCTATAGCAGGGTTGATATCCTTTTCCTCATTCAGTATCGTTTTGTTGGCAGTTTTTAAAGCTTGTAATGCACCTGTTGCGCCAAATGAATGACCGGCAATGGCGAGATGTGAGAAGTCTAACCGATCCTTCCAGTCGCCCAAATATTTTCCCTCCTCGCGGTAATTCGCCTTGAATATCTCTTCTCCCTCGCCTGCATGTAGCCTTTGTAACACCGAAATCGTCTCCCGTATTTCTGCATCCCGAAACTCGAGCTTTTGAAATCTCCAATCCTCATTCACGGCCTCTTCATCCAGCTCTTTTTGCTGTTCCAGTTGATCAGACCGAAACAGCCTCACGTTCTTCGTCTTGCCGTTCGGCAAATGTACTATAGAACCCGGACAGCTGCCGTCTCGGTGTTCGATGGCTGCAACGACGACGCCTCTGCTTGCAAGCTCACCGCAGTAGGCAGTATAGTCGGTACGAGAGCTCACGTCACCGTGTGAAAAGATCACGACTGAATACTGCTGAAGGTCTTCGTCACCACCTTCTTTAGAATGGCCAAGTAGAGGTACGTCGACCTTCGCAGGAATATGGATGCTGCTTGCCAATCCCCAGAGTGCAAAAGTAAATAGACGCCTCCCGAAGAAGTTATTGAAATGGGCTGCTGTAGAGTAGCCTTCAGCTATAAGGCTGATTGGTTTTGGAAACCACTTGTGTTTGGGTCTAGTGCTCTTAACATCTTTCTCGGTGGGAAAATAAAGACTAAACAGTACGGTATCGAGTTTGAACGCAGGCTTGCCGTCTTTAAGAACCGCAGGGTTGATCTCTCGTGGCTCCTGGACTGCAACTTCGAGGTCGATTGTGCCCACCTGATGCATGCCAGTATACTTGGGTAGTTTCGAAGCAAGAAGAGGTGATCCGACGATATAGCAATACAACACATAGATAAAAAAGGTGGACAGTAATACGTATCCTACAGTCAGTTGTGGTGTAAAGACCTCGGCTGCACTGTAAGCTCGTCGCTCGCTCATCCATCGTGGCCGTACATTTTCCATTTTTCTTCTCACTATTCGATCAAAGCGATGAAATCGAGTACGAAGTGTCGTTGGTGTATTCTGTAACCACCGTGGTTGTGTGGTATTGGCATTGTCTAGGAGTGGAAGTGGTGCGTCAGGCTCTGGATCCGGGTTCCCCAGGCGGTGGAAAGCCTCTTCGTCATAAACCCCTAGCTCAAAATCGTCACGGTATTGTGGCATCTTGTTCAGGCATTATACTCATTGTATAAATCCTGGCTAATATTTGGGCTTGAAGGGATGAAGTTAACTTGAGACCCGAGACTTCTCAGACTCGTGATGTCATGGCTCGTATGGTTACTCAGCAGCCGAAGCGGCCACCAGGGGCTAATCATGCGCTCGCTTGCGAACCTGTATCTATTTATAAGTCGGTGACCCTTAATTCATGCATCTAAACTAGTTCTCTAGGGGTTGATATTGTTATGCTGACAATTTATTAATCGATATATATATGTTTGCCAGCCATCTACTCAGGTAAAAAGAAGCAGAGAAATGGAATTCCTCCTTTGGTAAATACCACGTGACCAAGCTTAACCGCGTCATGCTGTTAACAACCTTCTACGTAAATCCCAGCACATCATGAGCATTTTCATTTTCCTAGTCTCACTATCCAACCATGATGTAGTAAATTGCATTTCTGAAACTATACCCAGCTCTCAATATAATCCTCTTTACCACTTCTGCGCTTCGAAGATGGCACGAGTTCCTGCCAAATTCCAGCTTCTGGCATACCCAGGAGATATTTTCCAGTCTATCTCCTCGACGGTTCGGCGTAACTTCTGACCAGGATTAAGCACCCTTGCGTAGAATTAATTTAGTGCATAGATATAAACCAGTCCTGACACCTTGGCAATGCCAAGCTATCAAATTGGACTATAATTTGGAATTGAAACAATGGTCATATGACTAAAACGTGACTTGCTATTCTTTTTAATATAATATAAATTGTATTAGAGCAAAGTGTAAAACACCTTCCTTATATAGTTGACGATCTTAAATCGATTTTCAACTTAGACTTAGTGTATACCCTGCCTTTAGCTATTATTTATATATGAGGTCGCAAATCTACCTACCTTGTAAAACTTGACGCTTCGTGCTTTTTCCTAACTAGGGTAGCACGCCCTTGACCCACTTTGAATTTACGCCGAACCGTCGAGGAGATATTGGAACAGTGCGATCACAGGTCACTTCATTGCCTTAGTATGACTAGCAAAGATATTAGACAAAGGTCCTTGCCGCATTTATATCAAACGGTTGATCTTGCCACTCACAATTTGACCATATTTGTCGTCCTGAAGCCTGGAGTAATCTAGACGACGAAATCCACCCTGAAGGTTGGGTGGAACGTCAAAGAGCATTTCCGAGAACTCTCATTGAATGTTCTAAGTACGCGACTTACGTTCACTCATTTTCGTGGACTTTCATCTGGTACGATCGGGAGTATTACATGAAGTATGATAACGCCATGACGGACGTTGGCTACCAGCTCTGGGAAGTTTTCAGTCGTCTTGATAAAGTCAAATACCTGGATCTAGCGGTACTTAGTACCAAAAAGGGCTTGAAATATGAGCCCTATACCCGCCTGCCTCCATCGGTTTTATTCCCTCAAGTGGTCGAGCTCCGACTGGCAGGTTGGATCCCGCAAAAGATTGTTATTAACATTATCAAATCCGTCGATTTATCAATGCTTCAAGTTTTGGCTATCGATGCATTGCAAGAGGAGGGTCATTTTTTTGACGGCTTCCCAATATCTCACGATCTCAATAAAGAGTACTGGGACGCTGAGTGGCGCGCGCCACACTGTGCGAAAAACAAATCAAGAAACCGAACTCCCAGGACGATGATATTGTATTTCCAGGGCCTATTCTTACAAGCAGTCGGGAATCGGGTTTCGCTCAATCATCTGTAAACTCGATATCCATATTTGAAGCAATGTCCTTCGTATGGAGAGTGTCCTGAATACCAATTATATTTTTCTGTCATGGCGGAATTGATTGAGCCTGTTGCTCCCACTCTTGAAACTCTCGTCCTTGACTTCGTGAGAGAAATGAAAGGGTACTACGATATCTTAGCCAGGGCCAGGGTCTATCCGACGTTTGTTAATTTACGTCGTCTTCATTTTTCAGGAGTGATTCTGCAATCGATATCGAATATTTTCTGCTCCAAGGATAATTGGAGATGGCAGGCTTTACGGAAAGTTCCATGCAACGGATTTCTCTAAGGTGTCTCTCAAGATGTTTTGTTGAGGGGAGAACTAGTTCAGGGAATTAAGCAAGAGCTTGAAAACACTTTAAGCAAAAGAAAGGTGTCTTTCGACTGGTGCGACGACTCACCTCGCCCTGCAACCTTGTATCTTGGCCATCTCAATGCTATTCCGGAAGAAACACTTGAAACCTTTCTTCAATTCGTCGCATAATGTCTCAAGCGAGATTAAAGTTCGTCTAGTCTCTTAACCACTCCAGAACATGGAGCCATCACTAGATTGTTTGTTTATCCACTGGGCAATCGCAGTCGCAGTTTGGAAGGCTTTGGTGTGTTAGTCGCTGTCATGCAGAGTGGAAAAGAGGGCTTACCATTCCAAATTTGTCGGCCGTTCCAGAATCCCGAATTCTCACTCTGAGACTTTTTCCAGTGCTTCTTTGAGAAGGCCATTATACGATCACCCTCAATCTTCAAATTCAGTTGTGATTCCTTTTCCTTCGTTCGGTCCAAATTCATCTGCCAGATTTGTGCTGTAGAAATTTTGTCAAGGGTTGGGTACCTGTAGCATGAGGGGTTAGCAAATCGAGGTTGAATGCAAGCAGCATTGACTTACCATAAACTTAGGTGTATTCTAGATTTAAAGGCCTCATCGAAGACCGCAATTCGATTGGTTGTCAAGAAAAGAATGCCTGCGTAGTACTCAAGCACCCTAAGAAAAACTGGTATTTATTAGTAGCAGTTTTAAGTCGCAAGATGGGTAGTTGACCGAACCTGAGACAAGAGCATTTCTTTGAAGGTCGGTTTTGCTTCTCTGTGCCAAGAAAACATCCGCTTCATCGAGTAGAAGAACACAACCCCAACGATGAGCCAGCTGGAAACATCGTTCGAGATTTTCTTCCACGTTCTTTGCTGTTTCGCCGATATCTCCACAAGTAATTGAAAACAAGGGCCTTCGACTGTGTTCTGCAACGCACTCTGCTGTTGAGGTCTTACCCACACCTGGAGCGCCATGGAGAAGAACGATAAGACCTTTTCCTTTGCCTCTTACAATATCTGCATTATAATGCGACTCAGTTTCGTAAACCGAGGCGCCATGTTTTTTGAAATGTGTCTCAACTAATGCTTGAATGATTTTCTTGTGCCCTTTCGGTAGAACTAGGTTTTCGAGGTTATCTTCATCATATGCAACGTTCGATATGTTGTCAATGTTGAGCCGTGCTGCTTCCGTTAGATTAAATCTTACTGTAACATATTACTTGTGAAACTTACCCCATTACCGGCTTCGGAGTACAAATCCCAGCACACGATTCGGCATCAGCAACAAGTCATCCGTTGTCAAATCCGCTGCGCTGAAACCCTCTTTTCTGAGAAGCTTGGTACTGAGAGCGAAGTCATTGCTACGTTTTCGATATGGTCGTTTAGTAAGGGAGAGGATCGCTTGCAAATGCTACAATCTTTGATTGTACAAGTTGTGTTATCCCCATCAGAAACTTCTCGTTCATCGCTTTTTGTTGGCCCCTGAAGTCCAATTTTGGGTATCCATATGCTGCCCCTTGGCTGCTCTTCTTTTGCAACACGTGATGCCATATCGAAATCAATGATGACTTGGCTGTCTACTTGTTCTGGGGGTCATCGAGACTGAGTGCATCGTATTCCCTGTGAACCCCGTTTCCAAGGGAGCATAGACTAACAAACCTTTGACCTCTTGTAGTCAAACCTTCCTTCAAACTTGTTTCGTCGGGCTCCGTGTTGGCTGGATAAATAGGTAGTGATGATATCTTCTTTAGACCGTCGAACTCTTGACTGAGAAGCTGTCCTGCACTGAACCAAACTGGTTTCCATCGAAGTCGAAATGAAAACAGTCCACCACAAATGGACTATATTTCTCGGCGGCTTGAAACACATTTCCGAACACAGCGACCGCTTTTTCAGCTGCCGACTCCTCTCCATCCCCGTCTGCCTTTGGGGGTTCTTTCAGTAACCTTCGACCACCAGTTAAAGCAAAAACTCGCATCATCCTTGGGTTATCTCCAGAAGTCTTCACCAGCTGCCTGGGCTCAAACAAATATACTAGATCATCGAAACAAATCTCTTTCAATTCACCACTTCTTTGGCCTGTGAAAGCCGCAATTGGTTTGGCGAGATCATTATTTAAAAGTTCAATGACTGCTTTCCACTCTTCCACAAGAACCTTTGCCTCAAATATACTAAGCAGCTTCTCCCTCTTCTTTTGCACTTCTTCGATCTCTGGTTCCAACAAATGTGCCGCTAAAGCACTCTCATAGTAATCGTATATCTGGATCTTTGCTACAGCATTCTTTCTACTAATACCACAACGAACCATCAAGCAGGCAATATCCTGCCTTCTGACCCCTTCTTCGAACGTAAGAATATCGGTCTCAAAAACGACAGACGGTTTGCTGACACTGCATCGCCTATGTTGGTAGAACTTGTATCATCAACAGATGATGTGCCGTTAGGTTCATATGTGGATTCGGGTTCAACATCTATTTCCGCTTCCAATTTCTGGAGCCTTTCATTAAGCGTCTGCTGGTGTTTTTGAAGTTCTTCGTGGAAGAGCACAAATGGCTTGAAAGGAGCCAAGACTTCCCGGCTTTCGTACATGAGGTCGTACTGAGTGACTTCTTTTAATTCCAGAAGGATAGTTTGGCGGAAGCCATGAAAGACTTCCAAAAACCAATAAAAAGTAAAAGCGACAAATCTTCGCCTCCAACGCTTAGTCAGACGTTGAAGCTACCATGAAAGCCGCTGAATCAGATTACATGCAGAAGCATGGAGCGCCTATGAAGGGAATCGTGGCATTTTTTGATAATCTTGGAAGCAACGGTGATACATTTCAGGCTTGGCTATCTCTGTTGCCTGATAGCGAGTATTCATCGGTTGTTTGTGGAGCTTTCAAACTAGTAATTACAGTCAGTATAGAATCAGTATATTCCTTTCCTCGGGTACTAAAATCCCTTCAGTCGTGCGTTAGGATGAAGAACATCCGAGTCTTGATTCTCTCGAGTCTTGGGAAAATCCCAGCCGCTCTTGAAACCGCTCGACAGTATTTGGAAATGGAAAATCTTTACAAGTCATTAGAATTGCACATTGAATTTTCAAGACTGTACAAATCGATTCTCGTTGCGTTTCGGCACATGCTTGAGTGGCTTTCCGAGAATTCGTTCAAGAAGGGTGCCCAGGTTTTCTGCAAACAGGGAGAATACAAGAAGATTCTTGAGGAAAAGATAGAAATTATTTATGAAAGAGTACGCGATGTTAGGCAACAAGCGAAAATTTGTTCACAGTATATGATCGGGAGTATACACCGGAACCTTTCGAAACGTGAGTGGTATCTTCATTCTTACGGCGGAAATGGCTGCTAATTGAGAAAAGAAACGGTGCATCTGCAAGGGGTGAAAGTAACAATCGAGGGTATGAAGTTTGATGTAGGCAAAATGGGAGAAGAGTTGAGCAAGGGTCAAGCCAGGATTGAAGATAGACTGAACGCTTTCTTTGTCATGTTCCAAGACCGTGAGCCACCCTGGAAAGACTTGGGACCGAGCAGGGAATGGAAAATACTGACCTCAAATAGAAATGCGAGATCTCAATTCTATGGGCACTAAGAAGCTTGGAAATGAGGACAATGGTAAAGTACCCTTTCAGAGACATGTATCATAATTAACCTCTTTGTCAGTTGGGATCTTGACGACGCGAAAACTGTTGAAGTCTCTCGGTGGCAAATCTAAGCTCGTCCAAGCTGATATCTCCAAGGCCATTTCTCACGGCCAAGCCGCAAGCAGGACTTTTCAACAGAAAGCCCGAAGCTTGATGCAAAACTCCCGACTCAAAACCTGGCTCACAAGCCCAGAATCCAGCACGCTACTGGTGAATGGAAACGGTATCAGAGAAAAAATATCGTCTTTATCACTCACCTGTGGTATGCTAGCAAAATCACCCGAATCATTCGAAGGCAGCATATCTTTGTCGTACTTTTGCGGTATGCATAGTGGGGTGGAAGAAATTGAAGGTGTGCAGAACATGCTGGCCCAACTTACACATCAACTTCTGAGCTCGTTTGCTCACTTTGACCTCAATTTCGTGAAGGTTCGACATACGCCGAGCGATATCAAATCACAAAATCTAGATGTGCTTTGCCATATTTTCAGCGGGCTCGTACACCAACTTCCGGAAGACCGAATTACATTCTGCATGATTGATGGTATCACATTCTACGAATACGGAAAATATAATCCCGCTTATCGTGAGGTTATTTCCATGTTGGTGGATTTAACAGAGAATTGTAGTACTGTGTTCAAGTTGTTAATCACTAGCTCCACCAAATCTATATCCATTGAAAACTTGATTGACAAAAAGGACATTCTCAATTTGAAGGCCGGTGGGAACTACAGCGACAGGGGACTGAGCATTCGCAAAGCGCTGGAAGGGAATTCTAGAAGTATGGAGAATCTCTCAACTGAGAGGCTGGCCAAGAAAAAGCAAAGAGACACATGGACGGAATCAAGTAGTGGGGGGGAACAAAGCGACACAAGTAGTAGTGATAGCTCTACCGATGAATAGTACAATGATAACTTGACCATGCTTATTTAGAAGCAACGGCAAAGGTAATGACTGTGTATTCTAAAGCTTCGTGGCTGCAACTTTGAACTCCAGCCCTCCGACCCTCCGACCCTCGACCCCAGTAATCTTAAATCGAAGTCTATTAGCAGACTTCTACCGTCTGAAATGCACTGACGTCGCTGAATACGAGTTCAAATGGATCAGACTATAATAAGAGTCTTCAACTCAGACATTCTAAACAAGTCCCCTTTTGGGTCCACAGATCCGACCTCCCCAGATATTATCAGTGCCCCAATACGTTCATAATACTCAGGAAAGTCGGGCGACCTTTTCAGAACAAGTGAAACTAGTATTTCCTTTCTGCCTTCTTGAATCAGACTCATTCGCAAACAAAACATCGGCGTCTTAGGCAGAGTTTTGCCCGGGCCTTCGGCATCTAGCAGGTAGTCCGATTTCAATGGTAATCTAGTATTTGAAAACGAGAAGCAATGTACGATGTTTTCCGCGCCATTATGAAACTCAATCTCCCGTTCGAGAATACCATTCCTTACTTGTCCGGATATTGTAAGCAGCCCCTGAGAGATAGATCCAAACTCATCAACTCCTGACAATTTAACCTCGCACTTTTGAATATCGCAGAAGTTTTCACAAGGTAATTGGTCTTCGAAGTCGCCTTCCTCTATGTTGGTGAAGAGAATCTCATCCCAGTAAGAAACCCATGTTTCAACGCTCGCCCATGACCATGATGGCGCGTTAGGTGGAAACGGTCTCGGCTTTTTGTTCCTACATGTAGTACGGATTATCCAAAGCAGGTCGTCCTGTAGTGTCTGTTCCCAGAGTCCAGCTAGACATCTTGATTTACGTCCAGAAGCCAATTATTTAGCCAATCCACTAATGGCAGGCAAACGATCTTTTGACTTGGTAAGAAGGAGCGCTGTGTAAGAACAGACCATTGTACGCCACAAACGTGCTCCATGGTATTCGATTTCCTTTTTCATTGCTTCTTGGCCATTCCGGTACATCTCCAGCGTTTCTGAGAACAACCTTTATCAGCGGAACCGAAGTCCCGGGAATCGAGTCTTGCAGTCGGATACAATCACATTCACACTGAATGCTTGATTTACATTCGGAAAACATCTCATAGCGACTGAAGTGAAGAGTGCGAGTTGAGAGCATGCGTTCTTGGCAAACCCATGCCCTAGTCAGCAGTGGGGAATACATGGTAGTAGGGGTGCCGTCAACCAAAGACTTGGAACCATTAGACGAAAGATTCTCCATTGAATATGTGGCTTCGATATGATGATCGATTCTTTCTCTAAAGTAAAGGCGAAATTCCTCCCCGTTGGGCGACCTTCCAGATACCCCGCAGTCTTCTGTAGGCGAGAACATACCACCTGCGCCGTTGGCAGAATGAGTTGCTGCAATTGTTAGAAAGCCACAACTGTACACAGACGCCATCTTGGCTGACTCAATTTCCCAGTCTCTCGCATCATCTTGAATTATACATAGAGAATCTATCCAGATGTAATCGAAGCCGAGGGCTCTAGTAAGCGAAATGGCGTCCCGGAAGGTTCTTGATAACTCATCCCATGTTATTCCTTTCTTACGGTAGTCAATCGTCGATTTAGTTGTTGTGATGATCTGAGCGAGACCCCAACAATGGCTCAGACAAAGGTATTTGCCTTTTGCACCTTCTGTTTCTCGCAACTTAACGATTCCATCAATGAGTCCGACATCGATCACACGAGTAGGGAGGTCTGGCTGTTCCTCAAAGTCGCAGTAGCCTTCAGAGCCACCAGAGTGGCAAGTGATACACTCAGCTAACCAGCCTTTTATTGTTACGAGGGCCATGGAAGAATCGGTTGCTGGTGAAGTTCTTTTGGAAACAGCAATATGATCCCAAGAATCTGGAATGAGGCAATCCTCATTCTCTGTTGCAAAGATTTCCACCTCAAAACGTTTTCCATCTTTCAATTGAAAGATGACAGTTTTGCTCGAGTCTGACTCTTCAACAAGCTCAATACAAGTTGGGTAGAAGAATCGAAGACTTGCAGTGACAACCTCTGATTCTTTGATTTGGTGTTGATTGAAACATCCAAGACATCCAGTTTGAATGATTTTGCAACAGTAGCATGATTTCGCTGAGGTTTGAAGCCCTTCCCACGTGAATTTGGGGACGACGTGGTTGCGATTTTCGGTGAGTCCGGCACGCACTCGCTTCTTGCTATCTTCGTAGGTCACGATTTTATATGTCCCCTGGAACTGGTTGCAGAGTGTGCATTTCATATTCGCCGACCACGCAGTGAGAAGTACGCTGCAAAGTTGTAAAGTAATTATCAAAGTGAAAGGGTTTGCTGGTGGGGACGTCAGATTCCGGCGAATGATACTGTAAGCGGGGGTGGATGGCCCCGTATTTTTGGGGGCCATTATCGTGAAACCCAACCTCCCACTTATTTTCTCTACAAGAGCTCCAAATCCTCGGAAATCCAGTGGTAAACTTGGTTCTGGCAACTGTAAGTAAGACCATACTCGTTCTTGTTTTCTGAAAATACCGAAGTCATAGATGAAGTATAATCCGCGTTATATGGTGGTAGCATAAATATAATAGACGGGTATTTCCCTCAGATTGTACATAAAATCACCCAGCTATGGCTTGCAGGTCTTTCTAGGATATATAAAACTATCATGTTGGTACCATTAAATGATGAACAAACTTGGTGTCGAATTATACTAGCACTCTCGAATACTGTCTTCCCACCAATTACGACACAGTCAATTTATAGGAGTGCTACAGGCAGGGTACTAAGCTGCATCAACGGAAGACGCGTTCAACTCGAGTAGTTTAACACCTCTGAACTTCAAGAAATCGGCGATGGAGCTCCAGCAATGAGTTTTGTCATTTTACCTACGTAGTCGACCCACAGAACGACACGCATATATTCAAGGTGTAGCACCCAAAAGCCCCGGTTCAACCAAGCTAGTCAGAATGTTTTCAGATGAGTTCACATTAAGAGAACTTTCCTAACTCTTTCAAAATGGAGTCAAATACTTATAATCACTTAAGATTTTAATTGTCAACTAGATCACTTCCTTGAAAATGTAAAGTGTTACTTCAAAACCCTCCTATAAAGCTTCATTATACTGACTCCCTCTCATCGGATCCTAACACCCAACCAAATAGACGAGAATACACCTTTCCCACTTCCCCCTGCTCTCTGAACAAACAATCAAGTTATAGAAGCCACACGGATTTAAAGAAGCAAGTTGTTGCTTAGAGCAAAACATTACAGGTATCATTCCACGAAATCGCATTTAACATGAGTATTATCACATGATATTACATTACAAGTACAACTCCATCATCCCTCCACATCCCCAAAACCCAAACAACACACCAGTAAATACCAGAAACTCTCACATCTGATTTTGAATCACCCCTGTATCCACATATACTATAGATAGCCTCAAATCCAACAACGAAACTCCTATTCCCGACCCACATTCGACTCCATCATTATTTACTACCTATATACCCCTACAAAACCCCATAAACAAAAGCCACCACCACACCACCAACCAACACACCCCCACCCACCTGCGCATTCACAGCCCCAGCCGCAGAAGTACTCGTACTCCCCGCCCCAACCCCATTAACCGGCGTAGGCAACACCGACCCCTCAACCGTCGTCCCACTCCCATTCACACGCCCCCCAAGCGTCCGAACCTCGTCCCCAACACAAGTCAACCCCGGCGATACCTCCGTAGTGATGACTCTCTTCTCTAGCACCGCTCTTGCCGTGACAGTCGCGCTGCCACTTCCCCTCTGAGCATTTCGCCCGCCTTGTATGTCGTCGGTGGCTAGAGGTGCGGGAAGAGAAAGGGATGCCAGGGTTGCTAGTTGGGAGGAGAGGGATGCGTCGAGAGAGGATTCTCGGGTTGCGAAGGAGGAGAGGAAGGTAGAGAGTGCGGGGCCGGTGAATTGGCCGTTTATGCAGCAGATGTTGTTGAAGATGCTGCCGCTGCACGTGTTGTTTATGATGGTTGTTTGGGCTTGTGTGAGGGGGGTGAGGAGGGTGAGTGAGATGAGGAGGGAGAATGTGGATTTCATTTTGAGGTTCTTGGTTTTTTGCTGATTGGGAGGTGATGGGAAGTAGAGGGTTTGAGGGTTGTGAGTTATAGATATGTTGATTGTGTCGTTTGTAGAGAATGGGTTAATCGGTCTATATATGAAGGAAGGGAATTTGGTATGAGGAGCTGAAAACACGGGGAGCTTCAGTAGCTAGTGAGTGCCATCTACGTCAATAGTCATTCCCAATGAATGAAAGGAGGTTCGGGAATTAAGATGGTATGTTCAGCTACTAAAAACCCATCAATAGCTAAGAACGCCAACTACGCGGAATATCTCCGAAGAACCTGCCGAGATCTACAACACTATTGCCATTCTAATTCTGGATTAATAGTCTAGAGAGCACCACCCAAAGATATTGATAACTCGTTGGAAATAAGTCATTGCCGAGTGCACCGTCAGTTAGAATATGAGGATATGGGCCTAGTGTGAATTAGCGCAATAAAGATCCTCGGCTACTTAAGTATATTTAGGTTATACATAAGTAGGTTATAGTGGTACATCTAACTATCCAAGTATTGATTATCGTAAGTAGCTTTGGAATACATCTTTCACAATGTTCATTTTCCATCGAGATCATCGCTTGAGCATCCCCCTAGGTAGGCTCGCACACAGACACTTTCACGTGCTCTCGTAGTATCCTACCGACATCGAGACATAGATTTTCGATAGCTACTACGAAATGGAGAAGGCGGAGAGGAAAATAATGTTACAATGCTAAACTTGAAATATAAGGCGTAATCTAACCGAACACCCCCTATTCGCTTAAACCCGACCTAATAATCGCTTGGACCATCATCCCAGCACCACAGAATCACAGGAGCCAGTTCGATTTCCATACCATCGCAATTGCCTTTTTAAATCCACTCCTATATTCCCATGTCCAACTAACTAAGCTCGCATCAAACTCTAGAAGTCGAATTTCTCCCTAACCAACTCCTCAGTCAACTTCCAAAGCCTTTCGCCAATTTCAGGATCCGAGTTGATGCGGGAATAGATGTGACCTGACAATCTTCAAGATAAACACTTGACGTTCCTGTGACATTATCAGAATCCACGGTCAAATCAACCTCAAAGAGAAGAAAAGGAACAAACATACCCTTCAGCATCGGATCCAAAGCCGCAACCAGAATCGTACTAACCCCTTGACTAAGACTCTTCATACCCATCATTCCAAAAATCCGTTCCTTATTTTCTTCTGGGACATGACGCCAAAGCTCCGTTTTCACAGCTACCGTATCCTTATCAGCACACCACACCAAGCCTTACAGCAACCTTAACGCGAGACTTTACAAAAAAAAAAAATAACCACCAGGATGCACACATACACACCCAACCCCCCTCCTCACAAGCCCCCCCGAATAAACCACCACCGCACTATTACTCGGCGCATACGTAACCGTAGCAATATACCCCACACCCCAGGGGAAACCAAACCGCTCACGCAGCTCCTTCGGCGGCCATTCATCTTCCGGCATCGTTCCACCACTAAAATTCCAGTCCCCAAAGCGGAAGGGCGAGAAGCGGTAGCCGTCACTGGCTACATTTACAATTCTCGTCCGCTTACCAAGTTTAGAGATGATAGTATTGGTGAAGAGGAAGAGACCGAGGTAATTGGTTGCGAGATGCATCTCGAACCCCTCGGGACTTAGCGTGCGGACGGGGATGTTCATGACGCCTGCGTTGTTGATTAGGATGTCGATGTGTAGATTTCCGGGGGAGGCGAGGAGTATGGATGCAGCGGCGCGGACGGAGGACAGGTTTGAGAGATCGAAGGGGAGGATGTGGGTTTTTGATAGGGGGAAGGATGTTTGGAGATCTGCGGCGACGGCTTGGATCTTGGTGAGGGAGCGGCCGGAGAGGATGAGGAGGTGTGGTGTTTGGGAGGAGAGGGAGTGGGCGAGGGTGGCTCCTAGGCCGTTGGGACTGATGCCTGTGATGAGGACTTTGTGTGTGGTGGGTTGCTATCTTGGTTGGACACAAGTCCTGAGGATGGACTTACTTGCTTTGCCAGTAATCTCGTGTTTGAACTCTGAGATCACTTCTTCAGCCTCGGTCTTCTTTCCGAACTCAGAATGTGAAGTCATATTGGATGTTTCCTTAAAAGTGATTTTCTATAGGATATGTCAGTAAGAGAGGAGAGATGACGTTCTGCTCATGGTCCAGTTTACAAGTAGCAAGGCGGACGGTCCAACAAGTCAGTCTCAACACAACACAACATACCAATCAACCTCCCAACCACGGGATACAAAATATCAAGTCACCCTACCTTTCAAAACAGGCCCAAGCTTCTCTTGCTCTAACTCCAACAATGAAAATTCAACCCCGTAAGAAAATAGAACTATTCAGAAGCTTTATTTAAGAACAGTAAAGGAGCAGGATTTCCACTTCAAACAGCTATAAACCTCCTTTTGCTCTCATTGGAGATATATATTAAGCGAGAAGCTTAACAGCCTCCCCCATAATATCATCAAAAACATTCAAACCAACAAAACTCCACAATTCACAAAAATAGGCTTACCAACCTCTAATCTTTCGCCAAAATATTCCTGTGTTACTATAAGCTGGGGGTTGAAGCAAGAGGAAAATAACTGGTATCATTTCATAAGAACCATAAAAGTAAGGAAACCCTATAGAAGATTCCTTCCATCCATTCCGATCCATACTTATCCCCAAGAGAGGAGAGAAAAATCCAAAGTATGGCGAAAAATACACACACCACTCATACACACATACAGCCACATGACCAAACCTATGGAGGTACTGTACCAATTTTCGGTACCCTAACGCCTTTCCTTCCTTACCCTTGCCATCACCCTCCCCCCCTCCTTTCCCTCCATTCTTCCTCCTCATCGTAAAGCCCTCAATAGCTTTCCTCTTCCCCTTCCCTTCCCACCAACCAATAAAAGCACTCCCACCACCACCCAATAAACCAATCACTTCCCACCCAGCCCCCTAGCCCTTCCCCCCTCAACAATAACCTGTTCATCCACCTTCTTCGCCAATTCCTCAGGCGTCCCATACTCCAGACGTTTCCACGTCACAATCTTGGCCTCATTCATGTCGATATCGAAAATGCGAATGCGTCGATGATAGCCTCCGTATCCACCGTAGCCACCGAAACCCGCGCCGCCTCCGTAGCACATCCATAAAGCCGGATTGCCAGAATTGTCGGGGGAGAGGGAGCAGTATTCGTTTGCGTGGTCGCTTGGAGATGTTAGATGGGGGGAGAAATAGGGGGGATGGGTGAGGGGGGCGAAAAGGAATAAGCGAAGGTTAATAAGAAAATACGTACTGTCCACAACTAACCATAACAACCCCCTTCTCCAACAACGCATCCCGGAACCCAGAATTGAACCCAGGCGCCGTAACACGTTCTCTCCACTCGCCTACTCTAGGCAACTCCGGATCCGCGTACTCCGGTAGTGGAATATGAATGAACGCGAGATCCATATGAATATGCGTAAACTTCTCATGGCCAGTCTTCAAAGCATCAGCCGTGTTTTTGAACCACTCGATTTGGTTCTTTTTCAGCCAGTCGTAGCCTTTGAATGTGTGTTCATCAGGAGAATATGCGTGGGTATCTAATAAGTAAATGGTGAGAGCTGAGTGTTTGGAATTCCCCATGGAGAGGACTTCGATGTAGTAATTTCCTACGCCGTCGATGTCTTCCGGTCCGGCTTGGGAGAGGGAGTAAGGGAGAGTTTCAATTAGAGCCATTTGCTGGGCTCGGGGGAGTGAACCTTCATCATCGTGGTTACCGAATATGGAGGCGTAAGGGATTTTGCGTTCAACGAGTAGCTCGGCGTATTTGAAGATGGCCTGATATAGTCAGTTTCTCTCTATGAAACATATTAAATGGACTTACACTCTGCGCATCCGGGGCTGTCTCCCCATTAACCTGATCCCCACTCAACACAACCAAATCAGGCTTCTCTTCATCCAATAACCTCGCAATAAATAGCAACGTCCTAGTATCAGCCTCACACTTTCCCCCATCGTGTCCCGCCGGCATAGGATCCCTACAATGCCCAGTACCCGTACTAAAATGAATATCCGCAAGCTGCATAATCTTAAACTTCCCATCCGAATTGATCCTAGGCTTGATTTTGGCAGGCTGCGCAGGTTTCCCCCTCCTGACACTAAGTCTCGCCTCATGCGTTTCTCCCGCAACATTCAATAACAACGGTCGATCGATTGTTTCCCACCCAGGCCTGGGATCCACAGCATCCGCACCAAAAAGAACATCCACAGCCGTGATGGCCTTGGAAGAATCTGCTGCGGACTTCCTAGAACGTTTCAACCACAACCCTCCAGGCCTAGACTCCCACCTCGCATTCTCCTCCCCTTTCTCCCCATTGGTCGGGTCCAGACGTCCAACCCTGATATCGACAATAACCATCTCATGATTAAGAAGCTCCTCCTCCTTCCGTCTTTTCACATGCACATATGCACTCGAGACCCATCCACTGCCAAGATACAGATCCTTCTCAATGCGATGCCACAGATCCCCATCGAGTTTACAGCTGGTAAAGAGATTGACTGTCGAGCACTTGGTTACGGTGATATCTGTGATCATGAGACCGGGATGGTGCGCGGGCATGACATTATGGATTGCGGAGGGCAGGACGCGGAATCGGTTGTCGAGGAAGAAGACGAAGACGATGGTTACTATGGCCAGGACTCCGAGTTGGCATATCGTTCGTACCTTAGCGCAGAGTTAGTTATCACCCAAGGACTAGATGTCATAAAGATATACGTACGATCCTTCTCGTCATTTTGGGTCCTCAGCGCCCGCAGCGCAGTGCAGCTCGTGGTGGCGGGCTGAAGCTCTGATGCGATGCTATCTGTGAGGAGCGCGAAGCCAGATCTGGATCTCCATGTAGGCGGGAATCATAAAAGTCGGTTACGCACGCATATCTCGATAATAATATGCTTGATGAAAGGAGATGAACGGTGTAGTTTAGTAGTGTGCACAACAAAGAGGTCGTGAAGCTAAAGGGGTCGCCAGCCGTGTTTTGCGCCAGCTACTCGCACTGTATAAAAAGTGGTAAGTGCTGTGGTCGGGTTTCCCCAGATTTGCAAGGTTCCGCCAATGGACAGCGACAGCCTCACTTCCCTTCCGCCCAGCATCCCTGTACATTGGGATGGAGTAGATCTAGGTCTCGTGACCAGGTCCCCTCTTGATTTTCCAATCCGCAATTTCAGGTTCATACTTTCTACCTTATATATTGACATGAGCAAAGTTATCCAATGCACCGAACTCAATTCTTGATCAACACCAAATTATACAAACGAGATCTTGTCCAAGGGGGGTATATCTAGGTCTATGTAAAAATCTACATCTAAATCTACGTCTACATATACACTAAAATACATTGAGCTCTGGGCCCGGATTCCACGCCTCGTCAATCCCGTCAATACCAAGTAGTTAAACTCGGCAGCCCTGCGCATATTGCAAAAGTGTCTTCTAACTGGTTAGAGATCATCTGCTCGAATACCTGGTCTCGACCAAAATATTAAAGCAACGGAATCATTACTTAGTCTTGATACTGGCCTATCTTTTTGTTAATCAAATCTATTACTTCCTGATCGGGTATGTCTTCCGGATCATGTGAAGGGCGACGATTCGACCACTTCTCCTTCGCCGTCGTCTGAACGGTCATCTTCCTCCACTGCCCAACAAACCCACCTCCTTGAATCTTCCCCCCAACCTTAGGTCTACAAACCATCTCCCATTCGCCCTCACCACTTTCCTTACTACTCCCCTCTACCTCATTTCCAATTTCGACCTCAGCAACCTCATGTTCCTTTTCAGCCACATCAACATCATCTTCCTTGTCAGCCTCGATCTCTCCTCCATCCTGCCTAATAATACCCTTCTTCACCTCCCTCTCTGCAATACCCGCCAAAAAAGCCCTCGTCCTCACAGGTCTAACATCCCACTCGCGGCCCCCGACCGCCATCGCACCTCCCAGCTCCACAACCTTATCCAGAAAAAGCGGGATATCTTTCTCCTTGCAATGCAAGACACACTTGTTGACTTGCGTAATCTGAGGTACGAAAACAAGAAGTGAGCCATCGGGTTTCAATGCCTTGGCAACGATCTCGATATACTCATGACAATTAGGCAGATCAAGAATCGCGTGATCGAGGAAGGGGGCTCCGTTGGTTTCGGCGAATCGGGCAGACAGGTAAGAGGGAATGGTACCGGTGTGGAAATCGATGTTATGGTAGTACATTGCCTTCCGGAAGGATTTTATCATGTTCTCTGCGTGAGCCGAGTATCTTGGTTCGAGGTCGAGGGTGTGAATTACAGCTCGACGATTCGATCTCCAAGTTTGGTATTTCGAGCCGTATTCAAAATCCTTTTCTCTCGTCGGTGGTGTTGTGTTCGCAGCATGTACCGCCCTCGATAAATTCAACGTAAAAGCACCATGTCCCGTGCCCGCCTCAAAGATCTCCAACTTCCGATCACCATCTTCATCCTTCGTCCCGGGTGTGGTGGGATGCAAATCCAACAGCGCAAGCGTCGCAACCGCATCCGAAGAATAAATCGGCGTCACAAGCCTCGGACTCAGATCCGTATACTCGGCCAGACTCGGTCGAAGCAACCTATAATCTAGCCCACGTCTCGACCTTACCGTCTCTCTGAGCTGCTTCCCAATGATCCATTCGCCACGCAATTTATCGCTGCCCTTACTTAGTACGACATGGCCTCTTGGGCTGAGGGGTGGACTGAGGATTGGCTCTGCGCGTGAAGGTGCTCGCTTGGCGTTGATTCTTTCTAGGAGGACGATGTCGTTTTCTGTTTACGATGTTAGGATGGGCGACCAGGGATTGTGGGGAGATGGACCTTCAATTGTGCCATTGGAGAATGCTCGCCGGGGAGAACACGATGAGAATAAAGATACGGATAGGGAGCGCCTTGGAATCGAGCACCGCGTTAGGTGGGTATTCATGGTAGAAGTGGATGTGTGAATCGCTTCAATTGCGATTATTCCATCGGAAGCGCAATAAAAAAATCCATACATCAGGGATCCGTACTTTGGCGGACCAGCGGCAGGGTTCCGCTGTCTCAGATCGTCGCAGGGATGTATCTGGGTTATGGGGCCTATCACAAGCTCAGGCTCTCCAAAGCTTCCAACCTAGAAGCTTTTATAGTTCATAACACCACATCAACAACAACATCAATTACAACAACTTTACGAACGACGATGCCAACAACAGAAGAAGGCGTCCACCGCATCGGCGATCATGAGCTCTACACCAAGAGCTGGCTAGTACGTATATCCTTCACTCTCCTTCACTCTTCCCAATCTAACACTCCCCCAGCCAGACCAGCCCGCCCTCGCAAAACTAATCTTCATCCACGGCTTCAACGACCACATCAATCGCTACTACGATTTATTCCCCTCTCTCGCCGCACGAGGAATCTCCGTCCACGGCTTCGACCAACGCGGCTGGGGCCAATCCGTAAAATCATCCTCCCACGCCGGCCTAACCGGTCCAACCCCCCTCGTAATATCCGACATCGTATCCTTCATTGAAACCCATCTGCCGTCACCCATCCCCGTTTTCGCCATGGGACACTCCATGGGGGGCGGAGAAGCAATGATTCTGGCTAGTAGTCCCGAGCATCAAGAGTTAACGGCCAGTATCCGCGGCTGGATCCTAGAAAGCCCATTCATTGCATTCCCCAAGGGTTTTGAGCCCTCCAGCGTAACGGTATTCTTCGGAAGGCTGGCAGGAAGATTACTACCCCGCATGAAGAAACTCGCGCCGTTGCCGCCGGAGAACCTTTCTAGGGATCCGGCTGTCGTTGCGTCGCTTAAGGAAGATAAATTATTGCACGATACCGGGACTCTGGAGGGTCTTTCTGGGATGCTTGATCGGACTGCAGCGTTGAGCCAGGGGAAGACGACGTTGAATAAGGGGGTGAGGAGTCTTTGGCTGGGTCATGGGACGAAGGATATGGGGACTTGTTATGAGGCGAGTCGGAAGTGGTTTGAGCAGCAGAGGGATGTGGAGGATAAGGAGTTTAAGAGTTATGAGGGGTGGTATCATCAGTTGCATGCGGATTTACCGGATAATCGGGATGTGTTTGCGAAGGATGTGGGGGATTGGGTGTTGGCGAGGGTTGGGGAGGGGGATGTGGGGGTTAAGCCGAGTTCGAAGTTGTGATTGAGACGATACCCGATGTGTAATGATTTATGTAGATTATTCCATGAATTTATGTTTTCATGATGTGGTATACATATTATATACACTATCCTACAAGATTCATGATCGAGTATCGATATGTTTGTGTTCCGCCAGGTAGCATTGCAGCCACCAAAGTCGAAGCTGCAACCCCATCGTCATATTCTTGCTCTTGATCTTGACAATGGGTGCATTGAATATAGCCCGCTTGTGACCAGCACGCTTGTGCTGTCTCAGCTCCTCCAGCTTTTCCTGCCCAAGTAACATCTCCATATTATGCAACGGCACCTTCCATCTCCCATTCATGATGGTTGCAAACTCTCCCGGCGGCATTACATCCTTGCCTTCCTCCACGGCCACCGGCCTCGTCCACAAGAACACAACTTTCCTCGACGTGTAACTCTTAGAGTAAGTCAATGCCTCTGACCAGGTATCGTATCCACTCAGATAGATATTCCTATCTTTCGAATTCAGATTGACCAGCATTTCAAATATCCGTCTCCGCGCAAGCTCGAGGATGAATTCATGCATGTCCTTCCTAAAATGCGCGCGTAAAAAGGTCTTGCTGATCTCCGGTCTTTTCATGATACGCGCCGGCATCAGACGAGCGAGTGGGTTGCCTCTAAAGCCTGCGCGTACGTCGTGGAAAGCGCCCATCAGTCGTTTGGATGCTAAGACGTAGAGACCTGGTCCTATACGCTCTCCTGTCTCAGTCTTCAGTTGCTGGGGGAGGTCTCGGTCGTGCCAGAGGACTAGGCTGTCGGTAGCACCCTTTTCTTTTGGGCGCTTGGCTTTTATGGGTTCGAGAAAGACGCCTCGTGGTACGTAGATTGGTGACCCAGAGTTAGGATGTTTTGCCAATTGGATGTCTTGCAGGAAGAAAGATGGCATGGGGGTGCGAGTCATTTGACATAGTCGGATGGGAGTCGCGAGGGCGATGGCATATGGGTTCATAGCTAGTCTTCGTTGGAAGGTGGTCGGTTCTCCGCTAGGAAGCGGTTTGGGGGCTTTGTATTTCTGTCTCGCGGCCAGGAACTCGGGGTTCATGAGTGGAGATGTTGGGAAGATGGGAGCTTTCCATGCTCCCCGGATTTCAGAGGCTTCATTGGGATCGGTATCTTCCTCCACCGTTTCCATCACCGACTCGGCGAACGCATCGAAGTCTAATTCGTCAAATGCTCGTGCGATCTTATTATCTACTCTCCATCGAGGCGCGTCTTCTTCAGGTTCTTCCCCAGGTGATGGATCGGAAAGACATCGTTGCGATATGTGGAGTGATCGCGGGGCAAGGCCGTTCGAATGGAGTCTTGATCGTGGTGAGGGAAAAGCCCTCGCAAAGGTGCGGGGTCTAACAATCCCCAATATGGACATGCTACATGATATTCCAATTTCGTGTTGTAATTGCTGAGAGAGCTTGCGATGGTGATGTGGTATTGAAGTCGTGCCTCCATCCCACCTGGCACAAAAATAAATTTATACCTCGGCCCGTTGGTTCCGACTTGGCTCCGACCCAAGCTCAAGCTCCCCATTATGCGATTTACCAACAACACCATGATTTAGCATCGTCAACTTCCCCAACTGTACATATCCCCCAACATGTTCGCCACGAGGCTCTTCCGGGCGCGGGCCCCAATGCGACACATTTTCAATATTACCACTCGATCTTTCTCTGCCTCGCAGCTTTGCGCCGACTCCAAAATGTGGACGCCAGTACCTTACATCACCGAGACCATTGTGAGCTCCCCCAAGCTCTGAGCTTCACGTTGCGCCTAGGATACTGACTTTTCAGGGCGGGGGATATCGAACTTGTATGTCTTGAAAGATTTACAAACAGCCGTCAATTATATAAAACGAACATCCAACTAATTCAATGTACTTTCAGCCGACATCTTTTCCAAACTCCTGCAGGTACGAATGCCACGAATGATACAACACAACATCCTTATTATCGCACTGTATAACTGACACCAAACAGGAAAGAATCATCTGCCTAAACGGCGAAGTAAATGAAAGTCTCTCCGCAGCCGTCGTCGCCCAGCTCCTCTTCCTCGAATCCGACAACCCCGAAAAAGCCATAACCCTCTACATCAACTCCCCAGGCGGCTCAGTAACCGCCGGTCTCGCAATCTACGACACCATGTCCTACATCCGCTCGCCAGTATCTACCGTCTGCGTCGGGCAAGCCGCATCCATGGGCTCACTACTGCTATGCGGCGGCGAGAAAGGGAAGCGGTTCTGTCTCCCGCACTCGTCGATTATGATCCATCAACCCAGCGGAGGGTATTTCGGGCAAGCGAGCGATATTGCAATCCATGCGACGGAGATTCTGAGGGTGCGCAGGCAGCTGAATGAGATTTATGAGAGGCATTTGACGAAGGTGCATAGTCTGGAGGAGATTGAGAGGTTGATGGAGAGGGATAAGTTTATGAGTGCGGCGGAGGCCCTGGAGATGGGTATTGTGGATGAGATTCTAGATAAGAGGCAGAAGGTGACGAAGGATGATGAGGCGAAATAGGAATTCAAATTTTGATGTCTTTTTTTTGGGTTGGTTGGTGTGGGGGGTTTTTGGGTGTTGTGTTTGAGTACGTACCTTTTTTTCGATACCCCTCTCAGACTTATACAAAGATCTTTTGCCTCATCCATCTTTCCAGGACTACCGTTCTGGATTCTTTCATGTGCAGTGTTTTCAATTTCCTCTTCTGATCATTCTAAATGGAATTGCACGACCTATGCCGAAACTAGTATAGCGTTCAACCTTTCGATTTGCTCCATGCACTGCATGAGTACCACAAGTACCCATCTCACTTTCACTATCTCTACATCTATACTCCAAACATGTACATATCATCAAAAACACAACTTTTTCGAGGAAAGATTTTCTTCGAAATTCATCAATCTCTTTACACCAATCGATAGCAGCTAGAATTTCAACCACTCCCCCCTCCTCCTAGGAGGTCTACTCCTCTGGTAGCAGAGATACATCCCTCAAAAGATCACGTGAAAAGTTTTTCACCCCCCCTTCATAACCTCAATCAACCCTACCACTGCCAACACCGCTACTATGGCAGCCCATGTACTATCAAACTTAGAATGGGAACAAGATATCATAGAAGGAACGGCCTATGAGCCTATGCAACTCGTCAACGAGCCCACGCTCCCCACCAGCACAGTGTACCCAACTATCATACTGGGAACCCCAATCCCCCAATCCCCCAGCACCAACGGACAAGATCACCTCCTAGCACACTACGCACCGTCTAGCCCAATTAATCACATTCAACGCAACCCAAACAACATTTTCTTCACAAACATCAGCACACTAAACAACTCCCAAAGAACCAAAGAAACACAACCCACAGCAAAGAGACAAAGAAGTAACCAATCCCTTAACCTGACCTCTAAGTATGCACTTATGTCTCACCCAGAAACTGCAATCGACGCAATTATAGCATCAAGAGCTCTTCTCTGTAAGGCAATTGAGCTTGAAGATGATCAGCCTAAAAAACTTACGCTGATTGACCTACTCAATGTCTTTCGAGACTACACTGAAGGAAAGCCCATCAACAAGACGCTTAACACTCTTACAAACTCAGTCAATAACCTTGAGAACATTGCAAGACAACTCCCCAAAAAAACCTACGCCTCTGCTACCACAAACAACAAACCTACGACAAACAACAAGCCTACCACAGACAATAGCACGCAAGGACTTATAGACGCACAACTTAACTATGCTCCCCCTCCTCAGAAAACCAACCCACAAAAGAAGAAGGATGCCATTAAAAGAGCTGCTACTGAGAAGAAGATAGCAATTAAAGCTCAACGACTTATCCTTGTTGAGGACTACCTTCAACCATTTGGAAACCTACAACCACTCACTCTCAGAAACACAATTAACAAAGCCTTCAAAGCTCGTTTCAACGTCGACCCTGTAATTAGTACAATCTCCAGATCACAAAGCAACAACATCGTCCTTACAGCAGCAGAAGAATATAATGCTAAATTCCTCCTCGACCGAATTGAAGTTATCAAGGAGGTACTTAAATTCAAAGAAGCAAGAGTAGACACTACGAGATACCAAGTAGTAGTCCACGGCATTCCAAACAGAGAATTTAACTCTCCCGCAGGCCTTGTACAACTCAAAGATGAGATTCTCACTTTTAACAAGGGCCTTAATCTACAAATCGAAGAAACCCCTCACTGGCTCACTTCTAAAGACAAAAGGGACAGCGGCCTACAACACCAAGGATCAATCGTTGTAGCTTTCAAGGAAGAAAGCCAAGCAAATCGAGCTCAGAGAAACAGACTCAACCTTGCAGGGATCAGCGCCAGAGTAGAACACCTTCAGAACACGTCAAGGAAAATCAAATGTACCAGATGCCAAGAAAATGGCCACCCCCTCAAGTACTGCAAAAACCCCCCAAAGTGCAAATTCTGCTCTAAACAACACCTAAGCGTACAACACAGATGCCACTAATGCCAAGCACAAGGCGAAGCCTGCGTACACACTACTACTAGCGATATCACAGAATCCTAATGATAGAGAGCCCAATCAAAATCATCTCTTTTAACGCCAACACTACATCAGAAGCCATGGAAAATGCACTTGAAATAGCCATCCAGGAAGAAGTAGACCTTGTACTCTTCCAAGAACCATGGTTTTACAATGCACGGAATAGACAAGGCTATGTGTAAGGGTGCGATAGCGACAAGGTCAACTGTATGCGTAAGAACTAAATTGTCTACAAAGAGTGGAAGTGATCGTAAGATCTGAGGCTATTTACAGTTCCAAGGGCACGGGCCACATCGCTTCCTCCACGTCTGTACCCTCACACTATGTAGCCGCCACATCAACAGCTCATGGTAGTTTTACGCAAATTCTTCCAAACTACTTACCTAGTAAAAGGCCACGAACAATCGCCTATATCGCAAAAACCTTCAAACCCTCAGTTAGCCTTTCAAGAGAGTCACCTATCGACACTGATATCCAGCTCATTGATATTACTGAAGGAGAAGAAACACTACAAGTAATCAACATCTATAACCAGAAAGACCAGGGAGAGCACGCTAAAAGAACTTTTCAAAGACATCTACAAAACTATTGTATTAGAAATAATACAATAGTCATGGGCGACTTCAACTCACATCACCCTTGGTGGAACCCTGCCATCGATACCCCCAACCAGGAAGCTGAAGAGCTTGTAGACTGGATAGAAGACAACAGCCTTAGCCTCCTTAACAAGCCAGGAGCAATAACCTTTATCAGACCAAACTCTACTACTCCCTCTGTACTTGACCTAGCATTAGTATCGCAAGAAGTAAGCGATCACGTCCAGAGCTTCAGAATCAACAATGCTATTGCTTCAGACCACTGGGGACTACAGCTCCACCTCTACGGAAAGAATAGAGACTGGGTTAATAATCCACTTCACCAGTCCAGATACAACACAAAAAGAGCAGACTGGAAGCTCTTCAGGGAAACCATTAACACAAGCATCAACAACTCTCTATGCCTAAAAACCCTCACAACCACTGAAAATCCAGCCTCGTCAAACAACTCGCTAAAAATCATTAAAGAACAGAACACGCCTTTGGAAGCTAGCCTTGACATGATTGCAAACGCCCTCACAGAAGCAATCACACTAGCCGCAGACAAAGCAATCCCAAGAACATATATTGGAAGCTTCTCAAAACCATGGTGGACACCTGAGCTAAAAGAGCTAAGGAAGCAAATGACCTACAAGCAACGCTACATCTCGCTCCAGGACCAAACATCAAAAGCCGAGTACATAAAAGCTCGAAATATCTACTTTGAAGCAATCAAAAGAACCAAAACAGCCCACTGGAATCAATTCCTTGAAAGAGAGGACCCGAAAGCAATTTTCAAGGCCATGAAATACACCAAAGACGGCAAAACACAAAGAATGCCACACATCAAAGATCAGCAACAGAACCTCCAGGCAACCTTCGAAGGCAAATGCAAAGCGCTCAGGGAAACTCTGTTCCCTCCACCCCCCACAGCCACCAAAGCAACATGGACCAACTACACGCCAAGCAATAAGTGGGAATGGCCTAAACTTACACAAACTGAACTAGAGTACGCATGCTCTTCAAAGATCTTATCAAAATCGCCCAGGGCCAGACGGAATCACACAAGATATTATCACCAAAGCCTACGAAGCCAACCCTGGAACCTTCTTCCAAGTCTATGCTAGGATGATCGACACAGGGTACCATCCCAAGTGCTGGAAAGAAGCAACAGGAGCAATTCTACCAAAAGCTAACAAAGAAGACTACTCCCACCCTAAATCCTACCGAATCATCACTCTCCTGAATTGCCTTGGCAAAGTCGCTGAGAGAATTATCGCACAACGCCTCAGCCACCTCGCAGAGACCACAGACCTACTTCACTCCTCACAAATGGGGGGAAGACTTAAGAAGTCTGCCATTGACGCTGCCCTTTTACTTACAAATGAAGTTGAAAACCACAAGAAGTACGGATGGAAAGCCTCTACCCTGTTTATCGATGTCAAGGGGGCCTACGATCATGTAGC